TTTTTTTTTTGCACCAACTCTAAACAAAAAGGATGATGTAATACATCTTATCTTCTATTAAGATCACCGTACTTAGAAGTAGATCTGTAAATAAACTGCGTTTTTTGAGAATAAAGATCTTGGGTTTTACAAACGAGAGCAATTTGAATTCCTTTAGCTGTAAAAAAACTTTACACATAGGTGACTTTGCGAAATCAGCTTTTTTTTGTAGAAAATAAGCGTTTTTTTTACTGTTACTGCTAACTGGCCTGCAAAAAGTGCACTTTTTGTTGGCTAAAGGAAGAAATTATAGCGCTCAAAGCGGTGTGTAAGGTTTATATAGGCACTCTTTAAAAGCACGTTTTTAACAAAAATAAACCTGTAAAAAATTACAACTTTTCGCAGCTTTTACTGAAGCATAATTTTTGATAGAATTAGTGCTAGGCAGAACTTGCTAATTTTTTTATTTGTACAGCTTAGCTTAACAACTCTGTTGAACTGGATAGGTTTTGGTGATTGGGAGGATGACAGTACTGTATCATTATTTTTGGATTTTCATTACGCTTTAACAAATCTTCTTTTTTTTTAGTTCCAAACTTTTCATTGCATTTTATGACTAAATTTCTGCGTTATTTTAGCCAAAAATACTTTTAATAATTATTTAGAACTGTTTTACCTGTCTCTGGGTGCAGTTCTAAAAGTTACTAACAATTTACAGAATTTATTTGAACTTTATTCTAGCAAATTTTCAAACGTAGGTATATCGTTAAATTAAAAGAAAAAGAAAATTGTTTTTTTTTTTGGCCGTAAAAAGTTGGAAACACTCTAAAAGCTGTTTTGTTGTACAGTTGTAATTATTTTTAGTTGAGTGGCTGCATAACCGTGTACAACATGTACATGTCCCGATACAGATGTGCTCAACGTGTTTTCACATATCCAGCACCTCCAAACCGAATCAATATTGCTGTTGAGAACTTTGATACTGGGTTTGTTCTACTAGACTGTATCTGTTTATTATTTCCTTCATTTAAACATATCAGAAAATTTGTAAAAATACGAAGTTTTCTACAGAGCCTAGTACAAGTATGATCGGCTGGTATTCAGGAAATTGAGAGTTGTCAGCATTTATCTGAAAAACTGAAATTTTTTCTTATTTGCAGCGTAGCAGGTAATCTTGGAGGGCAAATTGTTGTGCTGCTTCCCATGGTCCTTTCAGGGGCTGTTTACATGAATGCTCATCAGGTAATTTTACTACCACTTATACTGCAGTAATTATTTTGTTGTGCATCTGTTTCGTTCACTTAGAGCTAGCAGATGCAAAATATACTCAACTTTTGTGCAAAAAAAGTCTCGCATAACTATAAAAATTGAACTCTTTCAATACAGCTTCACGTTAATGTGACTGTCAGATAGATAAGCTTAACCCATATAACCCATAAAACTTGGTAGCTTTATTGACTTTTTAGAGAAAACATTAAAAATTTTAAGGTATCTCTCGTTCTACAAATTGATGTTGGACCATCGGCTGCTGGCAATTTGTCTATGCAAGTATCTGGATGCTCAGCAAACGTTGGTTATGTTGATGTATTTGTACAGAATGCTGGACTTGTTGGCGACATTGTGAACAATCAATTCAGGGTAAATTTTCAGTGCCACATCTTTTCAAATTTATAAGAGTCTTAAAAAATGACTTGAAATAGACCACAACTATCAGACAATACATTTTTTAAAATATCTGTTAAGTCAATTAGATAATATCAAATTCTGGCATCTCCAATTTTTAATAGGTAAATATGACATAAAAGTATGAATTTAAAGCAGGCGGCTGTACAATAGTCTAATAGAATGTAAAACTAACAACAGTAATAGCTGTGATAATATATATTAGTGACATAAAAGTAAGCTAAAAGAACATTAATAATAATAGTAATAATAAGGTCGATTCAACTCTTAAAGACTATAGAAAAATAATTATTAATAGTCGTTTTATTGTAAAGGCAAAAGTGTCAGAAAAATTGCGATCGCTGCTTCCGAAAAAACTGTGTGAGATAATCCCACGTATGATCAACGAAAAGGTCAACGAGAAATTGGAGACTTTACCTTCAATCGTCGATATGACGATAATCGAAAGTTTAGTGAAAAATATGCTTGGAAAGGCGCCTGATATACCACAGCATGTAAGTTTTCCCTGATTTCCATAGCTTTTTGGTAGATGCTATGCTTTTTTTAGTTGCTGATTTAAGCAATTTTTTCCTTCAGTGCTCTGCTCGACAAGTAATCACGAAAAGTTTTATGAATTTCAGTGTTACTCAAAAGATTGTCAAGAATATTTGAAAAACCATACATCTTCCGCAAAAGCTTCTGTTATGCGTCGAGATGCACACGCATTGCTGGTTTCAGAAATTTCCTCAACTGCTAGCAGAATTGACGGTAGAACTTATCGAAGAAATGTGAGTGCAATGTATATCGAACTAAAAGATGTAAAATCATTAAGTAAAGATTCCTCTAAACTTTTTTAAAAATTATAATAAAGTTTAAAGAAGCTGAAGACAGCGCTATTTGCTTAAAAGTTGTGGCGTTTTTTTAAGGTTACTAAAAAAAATTTTTTCTGATCGGTTAAACTTACTGTTTAACTTAGTTTGCTTTGCTCAGAAATGAAGGATTATTTACAGGAAGGATTGCGATCAAAGAGAATGTCTTTCCCAGCTTACGGAACGGAATTCCAAAGCCAGTCTGCAAATTCAGCCCTGGGTAAATCGTATCAGAATGTTCGTAGTCAGTCAGCAGTAGCACCAATCGCTGTTGGTGCCGCTAGTTCTGAAGGTCAGAAATGTGAGAATTGTCCCCAGGCTGCTCTCAGCAAAGATCCGTTACAATCGGCTCAAATCTTCCTGAAAGCTTTCGACTTGGTTTGTTATACAACTCGCTCCTTAAAAAAATTTTTTTTGAAAC